TGTTGATCAGTAAAAAATCATTTCTCTTATAAAATGTAGTAATATAAATAAAAATTTTGTCTTCCCTAACAATTGAATATCATTTAAAAGTGATTTTACAATTTCTAACTAACGAGCTACTTTTCTTTAGAATATAATAAAAGGGCGGGAAAGGGCTAATTCAAAATGCTACTTTTGAATGACCTCGAAATAATAGACGGTTGCAAAAAAGACTTTGTTAAAATAAACAAAGATGAAACTTTCGTTACTTTTACTTATTGTGTTTAAAGTATACTCGAATGTTTTGTCTTCCGATAATGAACACTGTTAGGGAGTCTATTTGGGAACAATTTTACCAACAAAACGGCAACCACTTGTTTTGGAACGCTCACTTCGACACAAAGAAGACCATTTATTCTGAATTAAAGAACCTACAAATTATCGTTACTTGATCTTATAAATAAAAAATCCCTTTTTAATCATTTCCAAAACTTTGATTTAATTTGATATTCGTGACTCTATCTTCGTATAGCTTCAACGACTTCAACACGAAATTTAACTCGTATAAAACTGATATCCTTAATATTTTACGGCATCCCGTTCCTATACCACGATTATAGATAATTAACTCTGCTCACACCGTGCCGGGGTCATTTCTGACCCGGCTCACAAAATATTTATATATAATAGTATATATATATAAAAAATAGAAACTACTTATATTAGCTCAAAAGTAACGATCACACTAACGCACAAATATCATATAGCTGACACGTGTCTGCCAAAGTGACAGAAACTGTGGACGAAGAAAGTCACATTCTGACAAAATAATACATAAATATATAATAAATATAACTTTATTATTCGTGTAATTATTATTTGTTCCTACATGAGTCGAGTGTCTGTCACTATGTTGGTACAATATTGGTGAGAACCACGATCTCGAGCCACTGTCACTCTGTGTTAGTCAATATTGGTGAGCCGCTCGAGCGACCATAAATATGTGTTAGTAAAATATCCGTGTGAGTCAGTAGTGACCCCGCCACAGGACTGCGAGCTGCAGTAGTCGGGCGGTAAATAGTAACGGTTATTTCGACCTATGCTTCACATCTTCTATAATATTATATTTGTAAACGGTATTAACGATGAACCAAGTAAGTGACTATATATTGAAAAAACATAGGGGAATATTACGGATTAGTGGAATATCCGTGTGAGTAAGAAGTGACCCCGGCACAGGACTGCGAGCTTCAGTAGTCTGACGGTAAACAGTAACGGTTATTTCGATCTATGCTTCACGTCTTCTACAATATTATATTTGTAAACAATACTGACGATCGACCAAGTAGATAACTATATATTGTAAAAACATAGAATATTACATGTCCACATATTTTTATAAGACGTAAGAATAACATATTGTCTTAATACGTCACTTCTCTTAATAAATATTTAAATCGATGAAATTTATATTTCTATTGAACAGAATATATGTTTTAATATTGCACAAAACAATATGTATATGCGTTAACTTAATTATAATAAGACATATACATATGTCGCAATAATGGTTAAAATATAATATTCAAATACTAACAAGGATAATATAACTTTAACTTTAATTTAACGAATTAACTTGTACAAAAAAAAAGGCAATAAAAGAACACTAAAACTCTTGGTTCTTTTCCTATATTCCTATTCCTTTTTGTTCCTTTGGTTCTTTTCCACTCCGTTCCTTCGTTCCTTTCGTACGAAAAAAGAGAGGCACAGTTTATACCGCGGCACCGATTTGATTCTAACCGACAAAGAAGCAGCATCAAGCGGAAAGAGAGAAAAAAAATGTCAGTCACTCACCGATGTTAACGATTCTTATTCCCTCGTCGTCCAAGAACTTCAACGCCACAGACACATTTTCCAATTTCTGTGATCTAAAGATGGGCCTTTGACTGTGCTTTGGAAGCTTTTTCTGCGCGAGCACCTCGATCAAACCAATCAGATGGAGACCGTCGGATAAATCGCATTCCAGGTCATCGATGTGTCTGTTCACCGTTTTCAACTTCTCGTTCGCCCATCTCGTAAACGTGTTCTGCTGCGTTCGTTTCCACTGAGCATCCTCGAGAAAATCTTGTTCGAACATGTCGTCGTCCTCTTCCTCTGCGTTCTCGCACTTGACTGACTTATCGTTCTCGCACATTTTATCGGCCGGTTCGCTCCTACGGGACGACATTGGTAATGGTGAGCACGGTGGTGGTGGAATTTACCTTGTGTGCGTTCACATGTTTTGCTCTGCTCAGTGACCTCCCCTCTCCTCTACAGAACCGAGCCTACCGCGCTCTACACTCGCAAGGGAAGGACACGAACTGTCCGACTTTGATTTTAATGCGTTTTTGCAGAACGCTAATCGAAGTGATCCCTTTTGATGTATGCAAAATATTAAATGTAAATACCGTATAACTTCTAAGCTATAAATAATTAAAATTACATACCCTGTTACACAATGAGGTGTATTACAATTTAAATTTTACTGCTTACAATTGCGGTGGTCAATCAGTATAAATGTTGAAGTTGTAAACGTGGGGTCATCAGATCAAATTCTTCCAAAACCACAATATTTTTTTTTGTTCATCTATTTTTCTGGATTACTAATATGAGCAGATGATAACTATCATACACGCATTAAAAGCATTGCAATGATAATTAATAAAATAATACTATTGTAATACATACTAGTTGTGTACAGAACTCTTTCCTTCCAAAAAGAATAAAGATTTTGGTATAATCTGCCTACATGTCCATTTGTTCTTTATTGTGCTTGAATAACTAATACTTCACATATTTTTAACATAAATATCTAATAGATTTTTAATATCTATTCAATATTCATAAGTTGACATGTACTACTGACAAGATTGAAATCATTAATTTTCTATAATTTTTTATTTATTTTTAAAATAGTGTAGTCAATATAAATGAAGATCGTATCTTTAAATGTTCTCCTATTTCTATTACCGGTAACAGAAATACAAATGAACAAAATAAAATTATTGTGGTTTTGAAGATTTGATCTGACGACAACGCGTTTATTGGTTCAAAATTTATACCAATTCGCCAACGCAATCTTAAGTTACGGTGTTTAAATTATGATATATCTGGTGTGTATCAAGGCATATAATTTTAATTATTTATATTTTTAAAATTATTAAGTATCTACACCTAATATTCTGTATACATCACAAGGGATCAGCTCAATTATCGTTCTGCAAAAGTACATTAAAATTGAAGTCGGACAGTTGGTGTCCCCTTGTCAGAGCGACGCTCGCTTTCTCTTTTTCTACTTTATCATCTGATACACGTATATTTATATGCACATTGTGTATAGTTGAGCATGGTGTTACATGTGATTGGGAATAATAATATTGAGAAAATATATTCTATTTACTACTTTGGTAACAATAAGAAAAAAAAAATTATACTAGATGACTATTAACTCAGATATTCTGAGGCAAATATGCATATCTGTAAAAGTGTATTTTAAATGCATCTATTTATAAATGAACATATCGACATTAACGACATTTTAAAATACGTCAAATAAAATTATTTAATCAATTTTATGCGCTTTCTGTTGTTTACTTTGCAATTTTTGTGTGAGAAAAATACAAATTCATTTTAAACCAATTTCTTATCAGTTTGATGTAAATTTGTACTTTTTCATTTACACGTTGTATTAATTTCAACTCTTGTTTTAAATGTCTGGAATTATTTTGTGTTGTGAATGAGATAAAATAGAATATATAAAAAGTTTTATAAATAATTTAATATATTAATATAAAATAAATTGTTTAACCAAATTGTAATTTAAAAAAACATAGTTTTAGGGTTTTTTGCTATTTTTAAAAGTTGCTAAGAATGTTACTCAATATACTGTAATTTAATTTGATATATGTATACTTTAAAAATGGTAGAATATAGAATTGAAGTTTATTTTATTAACTTCCTGCAAAAATTCATTATCCAATATCTTAAGAACTTTTAGTAGTTTTAAAATTAATTAAAAAACTAAATATTTCATGCAAAAAGAGAAAAATTAATATTCTAATCATCTCTATTCTCTAATTAATTAAATCTACCACTTCACTTTTACAACTTTTGCAATTTTTTGATATTTTTGCATATTTTTTTCATACTTTATTTTTTATTTAAAGTAACAAAGTTATCTGTGGTGGATATGAATTTTGAATAAGAACACTTTTAAATTATAAGCAAAAGAATGTTAAATTAATAAATAGTTAATTATTAGACTGTTTTAAAAATTTGTTAACGTTTTGAACAGTTTTTGTTTATGGATTTATTACACATAGGGTCATGTGTAAGTGACAACAGCAAGATGTCTTTCAAAAAATTAAAGTTATCAAAAATATTCAACAAATATAACAAATATGACAATAAAATTAAATCTTACATAAGTTTCATATAGTGGGGGACAAAAGTAATATTTTATTTTGTGGATATAGTAATAACAAATATATCAAGGACCAGTTAGTGTTTTTAAATGAGACCTTGCATTTTTTACTCATAATTCATTATATTAAATCATTGTGTTCGCTTACAATAGATCATTATATTCATTTCAACAAACACTGCTATATTATAAATAAGAAAATTCAGGATTTCATATAAAAAATTAACTTAATATCTGTATAATCTACCACTACATCAACAGAAAAATTACTAGCCCATTAAAGATCAAGCATAAAAATAAGATGTTTTTTAAATGGCAAATTGAATTAATATTGATTTAATAAATATTGAATTAATTTATTTCATTTAATAATTGTACTAATTATTAATAATTATTCTAACTTCAATTTATTCCTTTTAATAACATATTTCTAACTCAAATGGAGTGAAAAACTTTCGAGCATTGTAATTACGAAATTACAAAATGTTTCGTTGATAACACCGAACGAAAAATTATTTATGTCACCTTCTATACCAAACAATTTTCGGACGAACATTTTTGTGATAACTTTAATTCCTCGTGAGATAACCACTGTCTCCAGTCAAAACAGTCATTTTATTGCATAGAATTAGAAGTTTTCGTGAGATAGCGAAATTATTTGTTCAGAATTATCTACCATCAACTTTTCTTAACAACGAAATGTTAAATTCGAGAAAAACTCTGCTCTCAGATGGATACCAAAGAGAATTAAAGAACATCCGGATGTTAGCGCACATGGCTAACAGGGTTTATGACTGACACAGTTGGAAACCTTAGTCATTTTTGAGGGAAAGCGAAGTTTAGAGTGTTTGCTCTGGGAGGGTTTGTGAGTTACCGATGAATCTGTTCATTTGGTTTATTTTAGCTTCGTTGTCTGCCGCTCCCGGCAGCTCTAAAAGAAGTGTGATAAATTTGAAGTTTCCTAAGGGTTGGAAGTCACGTGAAATGTTCATTGAAAACTAAGTCTGGTGAATGTAAACTAGCCTAAAAGCTAAAGTCTCGGCAAAATATAAATAGAGCGGAGTTAGTAGTGACCACCCCTCCTTGGAAAAACACAATACAGACGCAACGAAAGAGCAATGACACTTCGCGAAAAATACTATCGTTGGTTCATTTGTCACTATGAGACGAACTAATTAACGAAGAATCGAATTATTACTAGGAAGAACTATTTGAAGTGATCTTGAAAATCGATTATGACTAATGCAGATTCGCAGATTCTGAGACAAATTGAACAATAGGCTAAGTACTCCACTTGTAGGAGATATTTTCCAAGTATTAATAACCGATTTTGATGAAATTTACAGAAAAATATATGGAAAATATGGAAAAATTGAATATAAAGGTTAGAAAATATTCATTGTAAGTTACTAGTAAATTTTTGTATGTTTATTAGAGAATATTAGGGAAATAATATTCTCCCTTTCAAATAGATTAAATAATATGGTAACAAATATTAACCAAATGTCAAAATAAAAAAGTTTGCAGATTATATGTTTTTTAATTTTCGATTGAGATATACATATGTATATACGTACTGAAACATCAAGAAATGAATAATTAATGAAAAGGATGCTGTAATACTATTAATTTTAGCCATAAAAGGTACAATTATTCACATTGATGTTCAGACACCAATGTATCCTTCAATTTGTAAAATTTTAGTATGCAAAAGTATTACTTAAATATTGTATTATATATATATTTAAT